CTCTACGGGGCCGCGCTGCCCCCGCCGCCGCCTTTTACGGACCGCCACCGCCGCTCCGGCGGCACCGCGCCGCTGCGCATGCGCCTGCCGTACAGCATGGCGGCGCCCAGCTGCGTTCCGCGCCTGCGCAATTTCTTCTCCCCGCCCCCTACGCCAGGCCACGCCCACCCGGACCCGCCCTCCGGCGGTAGGCGGGGCAGGGATGGGTTTGAGGATCGTGACCCCACCCGCGAAAGGGGTGTAAAAACGCCAACACCTGCGTCTTTCGGGGCATAGAAAACCCCAGCCCGGCTTTTTCCAGTGCTTGCATCACTCCCTGCCAGCGATGGTGTTTCTGAACTGGTACCTCTCTGAGCAGTCCTGGAAAGCCAGTGGGATGTGGTGGATCCAGCTGGGAGCATGCCTCAGAGGTTTACAGCAGTAGGTTTGAAAGCGCAGGGAGACAAAACTAGGGTGAAGACACTGTAAATCTCCGCATCTCACAAAGCGCAGCAAGCTGCCCTCATCCCCCATGTGCTGGGAGCCCCTCTGTCATGTCAGGCCTCACCCACTCCTTAAATATTTCCCTCTGCTGGTAAAAACAGAAATGCCCTAAAAGAGGAGGATTTGGCTGCTCTGAGTGAATCAGTACAGCATTTTATAAACATCACATGGAAGAAACTCGTGGTCCAGCTTCTCTTTATAGGGAAAGTCTGCCAAGTATTCTGGTTATAGCAGAGTCATTTCCAGGTTTTCCTGTCCCAAAGGGCAGAACTGGGATGTCAGCACAGAGAAAGGATCCATGTCCTGCAATCAGCTGTTTGTGTAATCAACCCTCCTCAAGCCAAGCGGATCGCTCACCTGAGTGGAGCCAGACTAGCCTGAGGGTTGGGTAGCAACCCCAGATGCCAGCTCAGCCACTGACGCAGCAGTCAGGGCTTATTTCTGTGAGAGTCCTGAGATCCCTGATAAGGCTCTGGCAGCAGCTGCGTCCCCTTATCTCACAGTGAAAACACTCAACAGCAGCTGCACGGCCACCAGTGCTGCTCACCAGGCCGCCAGCAAAGGGAGCACCAGCTCATCTCAAAGCTGGTCTGGTGGGGACTGATAATGAGTATTTGCAGTTTTTTTATTTTGCTTAGTGTCTACTGATTTACTTTCTGCCTTTGGGTGGGGGATGTTCTCTGTACATGTTTTACTGATTTAAGTTAGGTCTTTAAATGGGATGTATTAAGAAGGCAAGTCTTAAAGAGACCCAGTTAGAGGAGCTCTGTGATACTGCTATTTTCTCTCCACTAGTAGTGACTTTCTTTTCTGTTTTTTAACTTTTTAATATTTACACAGCTGGATGGAAGACAGTATATGTGTATCTGCTTTGCAGTCTGAAACAGTGACTGAAGCAGTACATGATCTATAGGATTACAAGCAGACAAGCTCCTAGGTGCATGAAATATCTGCCTGCTCTTCAACAATGGTTCCTTTCCCTTTTTAAACCTTGGTTTTCTTAGTGCTGCTCTTCAAAGCTGTTGTACATCTCTCCCCCAAGCAGTGTTACAGGGCCATTTGGAAATGTAGCCAGCCTAGCTGGGCTACAGTCCTCAGTTGTTTTTAGAGGAGGCACCAGAAAACCTGTTTCTTTGACCTTTGGGTTCTTGTGTTTGACATCACGGAGTCTGTGCTGCACTCGGATGGCAGTCAGTCCATCCCCAAGGCACCAGAGACACTCATGCCTAGGCTTTGACAGAAAGCAAGCCAAGGTTCAGGAAGGAAGGCAGCCAGGCTACACCGGTGTTGGCGGATGGTGTAATACCAGCCCTGGCTGCAAAATCCTTCACGAGAGGTGGTTTTTACCTTCCTTTTAGTGAGGAACAGGAGCCTAGTAAGCACCGGTACCACCTCATGCCTTTGACACCTCCACCCCTGAGGTGCAGGCCAAGGGCCGGAAAGGCCCCGGGACAGGGCTGCTGCTGCGGGGCGCCCCTCCCGCGGACGAGGTTCCGGCTGTTGTGGCGCTGAGCAAAGGGAAAGCGAAAGCGAAAGCGAAGCGGCCGGCGCCGGGCGGGCTCGGATAACCTCTCAGCTTCCTCCCGCCATGGAGACTGATGACGCGTCGGCAGCTCCGCATCGCGATTGGCCGCGCGCGGCAGAGGCTATAAAAGCGAGGGGCGGGCGGGGAGGGGTAGTCTGCGAGGGGAGCGAGCGGGTGGCAGCCATGGGGCCGGTGCTGAAGGCGGGCGTCCTGCTGCTCATCGCCCTGCTCGGCCTGGGGACGGCGAAGGGTGAGTACTGGAGGCGGCGTGAAGGGCCCCGCTGGGGCTGGGAGAGGCTGGTACGGGTTGGGGCGGCGGGGTCCGGCGCCAGTTGCCGGCGGGGGAGGACGCGGGAGGGGCCCGGTACCGGTTACCGGAGGGGCTGGGAGGGGCCCGGTACCGGGGAGGGGGCGGTGAGGGCTCTTACCCGTGGGAGCCGGGCCCGGTGTCTGTTGCTGTGCCCGGCGGGGTGGAAGCTGGCTACTCCGAGGCGGTGCCCGGAGTAGCTGCTCCTCACTGCCCCTTACACTCCTCCAGAGACAAACTCCCCTCCGAAGGTGGAGGTGTACTCCCGCAAACATGCCTCAAGCGGAGAGGAAAACGTCCTTAACTGCTTCGTGAGTGGCTTCCACCCTCCGAAGATTAATATCACCCTCCTCAAGAACGGGGAGCCCATGACCGGTGTGCAGTACGCGGACATGTCCTTCAACGACAAGTGGCTTTTCCAGCGCCTGGTGTACGCACCGTTCACCCCCAGGAAGGACGACGTCTACGTTTGCAGGGTGGACCATTCTGCCTTCAAAGAGCCACAGTCTTTCCGTTGGGGTATTGTTTGCCTTCCTCTTCAAGCTTTGCCACTGTTGATGTGCCAAAGCCAGAGCTCGTTAATTTATATCCACAGCATCTCTGTTCCTCTTAGGAAAGGGGGGTGCTGTAATGCGGTAGATTTTGAAGGTCTTGTGCAATACATGGAAAATTAACTTGGTTTCAACTGGGCTGCAGAGAAGACTGTGTGTGCCTGTGAAAAAGTTTGTTAGTAGCACGCAGAGAAGACTCGTGTTGGTATTATCTGTCGGTATGTGGCTGTTAGTGCCTAACAATTCCTAGGGGAGCACTCTGATCTCTTTCTAAGTGAACTTGCCTAGAAAGAGATGGGTCATGCCGTGACTTTTGGCTTTATATTTGGTGGCTATAAATAAGGATGTAGCTAGCAGTGGGGACTGATCACGGTGACCCAGCCTGCTAGAGCAAGCACACAGCAAAGCAGGGGCAGCTCTCTGGTTACCGCAGTTTCTCTGCTGTTTTTAGTGGGGGTGGGTTCATGGTGATGGGAGAGGGTGCGTTCTGTTTGCCCTGAAGCCTAACGCTCTGCTCTTCTTTCTTGCAGATGCAGACATGTAAGCGGTGTCTGAGATAATCATGGTGAGTTAACACTGATGCTCTGTGTTAAGGGTAACGTGGACCACTTTCTGTAGGCAGGAAGTGTGTAGCTTGCAGAGCTGAGTAACAAAAGCAACCACCAAAAAAAAAAAAGTGTTGATGCAGATTGGGAGTGAGGCTGTTCCCACACTCTTTCTACCCACTGTTTTGGTCAGTTCTTAGGCATACCTTGCCTACAGGAGTCTCCTTTGCTCGAAAGAAATGAGTTCCTTGGAGCAAAACTTCCTGGCCTGTCTTTGGAACTCTGCCGGGTATGGTTCAGAGTTGTCAGTGCCCTCTAGTGCTTCTTCAGACCACGAGGTGCTGGGTGCTGTCGTCTGCCTAGTGAGAAGGAAGTTGCTGTACCTGGAAATCCCCCGTGGGGGGAGGCAGATTGGTTAACCGTGCAGCAGGCAGCATGTCAGGTTTGGTAATGGGGGATTTGAGGTGTAAATCAGTGCCTTGCTGCCAAAGCAGAAGCAGTCTTTGTTTTGTTCACTGGTGTCTCACAGTCTGAGTGCTCAGGTTCTTCACATTATATGGGCATAACTGATCTGGATTTAGAAACTGGGTAAATACTTGATAGGGAAAAGAAAACTGCAACTATGTCAGCTAGGTCACATATCTTCAATGCTGGTTGAAATGCTTTCGTTATGTGCCCAGGTAGAGGCTGGATAATTATTAACTGTGCGCAGACAAGCCTTTGCAAGATCTTGCTTGAAATGCCCCTTATGTGGTGGGATGTTGGTGTGAGGGTCACTGGTGGCAAGGGGTACCAGGCTTGGTTGGAGGTGAGACTCTGGGCACAAGGATTTGCTGAGCTGGGGCGGAGGAGTTGAGAGCAGGATAAAGGGGGAATATCTGTGCAGCTGGTGCTTGGAGTGGGGACCAAGGATTATCTTGGCAGAGGATTGCTTGTGGAACTCTAAACCCCTGCCAAGCAGTTCCTGCAGGATTTTTATCTAAATATAATTGAAAGGTGGTCTGTCAGCCTGCAGCTGGGACTCTGCAGTTGGAGTTCCCTTGTGGAAAACACCTTTTTTCCTAAAATAATTACAGTTGAAGGTGTGAGCAGTGACTGATGTCAATCTCCTCTCCCCCATGCAGGTTTGAAAAATTCTGCTTTGCAAGTCAAAATCTTCTTGAGCTTCTCTCCTTTACATCTTGCTTCTGGATATGAAGAATAGCACTTGTGTATTAACAAGGAATTCTGCAGTGAAGCTTGTCAATACATCATTTATCTAAAGTGGCACACGAGCACGTATTTATAAATATCCACATTACTGATTAAAAAAAATTGTAGCTCTTCAGTGCTCTGAATTGTATGAGATTTTTGTCTTTAATAAAATTGGAGAACCTTAGTGGGGTCCTTAAAAAGTTTCTTTGGAGTCATATGGCAACTTGAGCTGATTTTGTGGGCTCCGATGGCTGTTGGGTTGTGAGTGGATCTGGAGCATGGTGGCACTGTGGGTGTGTATGCCAGGTTGCTGAACTTTCCACACACACTGACAATGCAAAAGTACAACCAGCATTTGGGTCAGAAGATTAATGATATCTAAAATCAAGAAGGCCAGAAGAAAAGAATGTGCCTGTTAAGGAAGAAACTGATAAAGAAGGGACTCTTGAGAATTAAAAAAGCAGGAACTTACCTACTGGCTGTGTGCGGGTAGCAGTGTTTGTGGGAAGTACTGAGGGGAGCTATTTTTTTGAAATAAGCATGTGCAGGAGTAACACAAGGTAGCAACAAGTATATAAGGGCTTGCTGCTATTTTTAGAATGCACAGGACTTGCTTGCTAATAAAGTTTGGGTTTGACTTCAAGTCATATTGATTGTCTGTGGTCTTGTTTCGGGTGGCCTGCATGGGAATTCGTCCCCACATGGCACTGCTCAGCTGTGGGGTTTTTTTTATCCCACTGAGAAAGTGCAGGAACACTTTTCCATTAAAAAAAAAGGTTTATCAGGTTTATGCGGGATCTGCCTGGCCCCAGGCTCTGAAGGAAAGGCACAAGGTTAAACAAAGGGATGAAGTAACCCTGGGGACACTGGGTCTTATCTTGAAGCTGGCTGAGAGGAAAAGGGGCAGTGGGCAGGATGTGGTGCCCACTCCAAGGGGGAGAACTCCAGCAGATGCTTCCTTGGGGGTGTGTGGTGTGAAGCTGGGCCGAGGGGAAGCAGACGTGTCAGTGACTTTCACTTCTGGTTTTCTCTTCCATAAGCAGCTGACCCCACAGAGAAGCCCTCTTGGGGGCTGGTCTTCTGCTGTACCTTGGGGGTTTGGTGAGACTGCCCAAAAATGGTCCTGCTTGGTAGATCCATCAGCCTGCTTTTATTTGATGAAGAAATCAGTGTTGGATCAAGGAGGATCTAATCAGTGTGGATCTTGTGTATGTGAACAAGGATTCCTGGCAACCCAGTGGGTGTGATATTGCCCATCTCCTCTTGGGTATGTTCAGATTTGCTGTGACTGGTGTGACAGTACACTTGAGATTTTGGGGTATCTCAGCTTGTTTCATCGCTTTTTCTATTATAACCACATTATCTGTTAAGCATTAGGAAAATCAAAACTCGCAGTTCCAAAACCTGGGTTGGAGGTTGCTGGGGCGAACGGACTAGTTATGTGGGTCCCTTTGTGCTCATCAGAGGAACATTCGAAGTGGGAGAGGTGGGGATGCTGTGGGTGGGGGGTGATGCAGAGCACCCATCACTGGGCGGGGGACAGCAGGGCTCACCCAGCCGCTGCGTGGCTCAGCCTGCTCTGAGAGCCCAAGGGGGCTTGAGCCATGGACCGCATCCTGGCTACCTCTTGTGAATCACACGGAACCACCAAACTGCCTACCATCACGTCGGCTTCACTTTTACTATCCTCAGGAGCATTGGAAAGTAATGGCTGGGTGCGTCACAGCAACAGGAAAACTTCATCCTCATTAGGACACAAATGGAGCTGACTGCAGCAGCTGAAGGTGCTGTGGCACAGGCAACGTGGGGTGACCACGTCTCCAAAGGAAACGTATCGTGTTCCCCCACTGGGGAAGTCTTTGCCCTGATTGCATCTGTGGGATTTTTGTGGTTTTACTTAGGAAATATTTTGACAGTTTACTCAAAAATCCCCCCCTCTGGGGACAACAATGCATGCCAGTCCTAGAGGCTGGCTAATATTGATTAACATCTGGATTTCAGGGGTGTATCTAGATAAACCTCCATTTTATCAGGCATCCTGGGGGTCCAGCTTGGGGGGTCCAAAGGTACCCAGGGTGCAGCTGCACTGCTGCTGCTGGCTTTTCAGCAGAAGTTCTCAGGAGTTGGGGTTGTTGAGGGATATCTTGGCAAGTTTGAAGCATGAAACAGGCCTTGTTTGTGCTTTATGAAATACAAGCAATTTTGCTGCAAGTAAACTATTTCACGAGTCAGCCAAATGAGGGTAATTTTAGGAGAGTGACTCTTTAGGAGAATAACTTAGAAGAACTTTTTTGAAGACCAATTTCTTCAATGTCACACCTCTTCGGATTTTTTTAAAGTTTCACCAGTTCCTGTATGGTAGGGAGAAAAGCTGAAGGAATGGGTGCAAGAGAAGGGGAAAAATCATTCAAGACAGACAGCTGAATACAGATGTCCTCCCAGAAAGTGAAATAAAACAAAAAGGGTCCCATCTCTGCTTCCACAGCTCCAGCTCTGTGGGGATGCATTTGCCATTTGCTCCCTCTTCAGCAAGCAAACCACAGCGAGGTGGGTAAAGGCAAATATCCACAGTGTGGTTTTGCTGAAATGTTCATGCAGTGTCTGGAAGAGGAAGGCTGCACAGCCCCAAGCCAGTCCTGGCTAGTTGACACAGGCTGGCCCATTTCAGCTCAACTAAGCCAGGCCTACCTGAACCACACAGCAATTAAATGCGGCCTAACACCTCTCCTTAATCTTTTTCGCCTTTAATTTGATAAAATACCAAGTCCTTTGTGGGAAGAAGAGTGCAAGCAGAAATAATTCTTGAGCTTGTGTAAAAACTTGATTAGAAATGTATAAGAATCAAAGACCAGGGCTTTTCATATCACTTTTCAGTACTGCTGACACTTACCACAGAATCACCTAGGTTGGAAAGGACCTTGAATATCACCTAGTCCAACCGTTAACCTAACATTGACCATTCCCAGCTCCACCAGACCCCTCAGCGCTGGGTCAGCCCGACTCTTCAACCCCTCCAGGGATGGGGACTCCCCCCCTGCCCTGGGCAGCCCATCCCAACGCCCAACAGCCCCTTCTGCAAAGAAATCCTTCCTCAGAGCCAGCCTGACCCTACCCTGGGCAGCTTGAGGCCATTCCCTCTGGGCCTGGCGCTGGGTCCTTGGCTCCAGAGACTCATCCCCCCTCTCTGCACCCTCCTGTCAGGGAGTTGCCGAGGGCCAGGAGGTCTCTCCTCAGCCTCCTCTTCTCCAGACTGAACCCCCCCAGTTCCCTCAGCCGCTCCCCAGCAGACCTGTGCTCCAGACCCTGCCCCAGCTCCGTTGCCCTTCTCTGGCCACGCTCGAGTCATTCAATGGCCCTTTTGGGGTGAAGGGCCCAAAACCGAACCCAGTCATCAAGGTGCAGCCTCATCAGTGGTGAGTACAGGGGTAAGGTCCCTTCCCTGTCCCTGCTAGCCACGCTATTGCTGAGGCAAGCCAGAATCTTGACTTTTTGGGCATGTTCAGCTTCTCTTAGGTATATGCACTAGTAAATCTTTTTCTTGGGATGTGCAGATAATCTGAGTGTGGAGGAGACCAAATTGAGCCCTCACACAGCTGTGTCTCAGTCGTGTGTCCTGCTGAGCTGGACTTGCCCCATATTCACTGAGTTTGGTGGTCACACTCTACCTGGCAGGGTGTTTGTTTCCTCGCAGTATGAAGCACTATCTGAATGGGGCAGGGTCTGGCAGGCAGCTCCAGGCTCTGATGCAGCAGACAGCATGTGAGGACACGAAATCCAGGCAAGGAGATGCCGTCTTCTTCTCACTACCTTCTCTTTTGCCACCACCTACAGAGAAATGAATACAGAGCATCTCCAGGGAAGCTCACTCCCCCCATGATACAGAGGGGAGGAGTCCGGACTGGACAGTGAAGGAGGCCACAGTGTGAAGGCTTTTGCCTCACGTTACTGCAGCAGCTGGAAGAGATTCAGATGGCCCAGGGTGACAGCAGGAGTGGAGAGGACCGAGGCTGTCGGACACTGCTCGGATCTGCCACTGCCTTCTCCTGGGCAAGGCAGCCACTGACGCTGTCCCCTCCATGCCCTCAGCTTGCCTTTCCAGGAGTGACTCAAGTTGGTCGGAGCTGTGGAGGGTTTCCAGAGGAGGTTGAGCATCAACGTGCCCCAGACACCAGCACTGAAACCGCAGGGCAGCCTGGCCCAGCCGTGTGGGTGCAGGTCCCCTGCAGATGTTTTGGGGTGCTCAGCCGAGCGCAGGCAGGCACGGGCGGGGCCGGGAGCCCTCCTGGCGGGCGGTCTGAAACCTGCGCGGCTTCGCCTGCCGCCGCCTGGACCACTCGGGGCGGGGGGGAGGCGGTTGGCAGCCAGACCTGGAGACGGCCGCCGCCCCTCGGGGCTCAGCGCCCGCAGGATCTTCCCGCCGCCCGCTCAGGATCTTCCCGCCG